GGCCCTGAAAGGCCCGCCGCCGTTGGCTCAAGGGCCTCCAAGAGGGTACTGGGGGGCCCCCGGGGGGCCCCTCTACGGGGGCCCCGGGGGGCCCCTCTGGGGTATCAGGGGCAGCAGAGAGCTCAAGCTGCAGCAGCGGCAGCAGCAGCAGCAACAGCAGCAGAAGCAGCAGCAGCAGCAGAAGTAGAAGATCCAACAGCAGCAAAGACAGGAGCAGCAGAAAGCCTCGATTAATGTGAAGCAACAGAAAGAGGCCCCCGGGAAGAGGAAATTCTCACGCGAAACAGCTGCTTAGTTGCTGCTGCTGCTGCTGCTGCTGCTCTTGCTGCTGCTACTGCTGCTGCTGCTTACTTCTTTACTTTCGGGCGTCGCGTCGTCGCCTGTTTCTGCATTTGCAGGTTTTAATAAGTCCTGAGAAACAAAACAAGCAGCGCAGCAATCAGCATTGCTGCTGCTGCTGCTGCAGCTTCTGCTGCTGCTCCTGCTTCTCCTCGGCGTGAAGGAGCAGCAGCAACAGTTAGGCTATTGCTACTGCTGCTGCTGCTGCTGCTGCTCCTGCGGGCCGTGTGGCTGCTGGTGCCGCTGCTGCGTCTGCCTTCGGACCTCGTGGTGCGTTTGCTGCTGCAGCAGCACCTGCTGCTGCGGCTGCTGCTGCTGCTTGTTCAGGAGTCCTTCCCTTTTCTTTTGCTGCTGCGCAGCACAAAGGAAAATGACGTAAAAGAGACCCAAAAAGAAACTCAAAGAATATAAAGAAGCAGAAGAGGGGCCCCTTGGGGCTGCATGCAGTTTGGGGGCCCCCTGTGCCAGCTGGTGGCTAGCTGCTTCTGCTTCTGCTGCTGTTGAAGGAGCAGCAGCAGCAGCAGCAGTGTCTACTGCGTCCAAGGCCGCGCCTGCATGCGAGCCATCGGCTGCTGCTGCTGCTGCTAGCTCCCAGCTGTCCCGGGTCTCGTAGTCCATCAGGCTTTCTGCAGCAGCAGCAGCAGCAGCAGCAGCAGCAGCAGCGGGGGCCTCCCAGCAAGAGGTCTCGCCTGCTGCGCTGCCGCCGCAGCAGCCGCAGCAGCAGCAGCAGCAGCAAAAGCAGCAGCAGCAGGGCACTAAAATC